TTATTATCCCCATTGTACAGAAGGAGGAAGTGACTGGCTCAAAGCCACATTTTGAAGAGCTGGGCACAGAAACCAAATCTCCTGACACCCAGCCTCAGGGTTTAGCCACAAGACCACAATTCGCCTCCTGCAGGAAAGAAACACACAGTCTACTTCTTACAGGAGATAAGTACTCCATCATCTGTGTTTTTGGCACTGTAATTTCTGAGGCACTTGTCTGCTGACAGAATCTATTGCATTTCTAATTGAGTCATCTATTGCGTTTCTCTTGGCTCAAACTATATGTAACGCACTTTGCCTACTGATGGAAATTATTAATGTGTTCACATCCCTTTCCCCTCCCATGAATTTTCATGAGGCTTTTTTAACTGCACAGCACAAACCCTAAATCAATGACAAGGGAGACTGGACAGTCATCCCAGACTGAAACTGCTCTGCAGACCGATTCCCAGAAGATATGTTCTTCTTTGCTGGCTGTGTTGAAGCTGCTGGCAGACCCTCCCGCTAGCAGTCCAGAGATTGGCTCCTAGGTTGTTCTGAACTAGCCACAGTGGAGCAGCCAGTTTTCTGCTCTCTATCCGACAGGGGATGGCTGTCTGATAAACTGAAATTGCAGTGTTCGGGCTAGGAAGACTAACCAGGCTTGTTAGGATATCAAATATTTGACCAGTTTCACAAAATTCTTGTAATGGAGGTAAGTATCCTTATTCCATTATACAGATGGAGGGACAGAGGTGGGGAGGTCATGCAGTGAGTCACAGCAGAGTTGGGTCACTTAGGGCATTGAAGTCAATAAGAATCTTTCCACTGACTTTAACGGGAATTGGTTCAGGCCCTTACTTTGTACTTTTGTGCTTCCGCCTCTGTAAAGTATATTGATACCAGAGATTAAAATCAGTGCCTTAGCTGTGAAAGTCTTGGGAAGTAGATGGCACCTCACCCAGTGCACTAAATGCCCTAATAACAACTATGTGGGTGAATGAGACAATCACTACACTCTCCAATAAAGTCACTCAGAAAAATGATAGGACAAAACACCTTATCACCTGTGGCCGATCACTTTTCACAAAGGGTCACTCCCAAGCTGACCTCTCAGTCCTCATCCTCCAAGGAAACTGGCACAACACATTCAAAAGATGAGCCTGGAGTTTAAATTCATAACTTCGCTGGATACTCAGAATCAGAACTCAGTAAAGACACTGGATTTATGGCTCATTACAACAAGCGGTAACACACTGACCCTCCTTTGCCCGACAACTGCAGAGTTGTCAAGTGCCCACTTTACCCTGAATGCTCTCTTGCAATGTGCTAACTCTTTATGCTTAATCTGTTCCACCTTGTATATAGTTTTCAGAGGAACAGCCGTGTTAGTCTGTATTCGCAAAAAGAAAAGGAGTACTTGTGGCACCTTAGAGACTAACCAATTTATTTGAGCATGAGCTTTCGTGAGCTACAGCTCACTTCATCAGATGTTTACCGTGGAAACTGCAGCAGACTTTATATACACACAGAGAATATGAAACAATACCTCCTCCCACCCCACTGTCCTGCTGGTAATAGCTTATCTAAAATGATCAACAGGTGGGCCATTTCCAGCACAAATCCAGGTTTTCTCACCCTCCACCCCCCCACACAAATTCACTCTCCTGCTGGTGCTAGCCCATCCAAAGTGACAACTCTTTACATAATCAAGTCGGGCTATTTCCTGCATAGATCAAGGTTTTCTCACATCCCCCCCACCCCCATACACACACAAACTCACTCTCCTGCTGGTAATAGCTCATCTAAACTGACCACTCTCCAAGTTTAAATCCAAGTTAAACCAGAACATCGGGGGGGGGGGGTAGGAAAAAACAAGAGGAAACAAGGGGAAACAGGCTACCTTGCATAATGACTTAGCCACTCCCAGTCTCTATTTAAGCCTAAATTAATAGTATACAATTTGCAAATGAATTCCAATTCAGCAGTTTCTCGCTGGAGTCTGGATTTGAAGTTTTTTTGTTTTAAGATAGCGACCTTCATGTCTGTGATTGCGTGACCAGAGAGATTGAAGTGTTCTCCGACTGGTTTATGAATGTTATAATTCTTGACATCTGATTTGTGTCCATTTATTCTTTTACGTAGAGACTGTCCAGTTTGACCAATGTACATGGCAGAGGGGCATTGCTGGCACATGATGGCATATATCACATTGGTGGATGTGCAGGTGAACGAGCCTCTGATAGTGTGGCTGATGTTATTAGGCCCTGTGATGGTGTCCCCTGAATAGATATGTGGGCACAATTGGCAACGGGTGCTAATAAACAATGGCCACATAAACACCACCCTATACCGGAAACCTACTGACCGCTATTCCTACCTGCATGCCTCCAGCTTTCACCCTGACCACACCACACGATCCATCGTCTACAGCCAAGCTCTGCGATACAACCGCATTTGCTCCAACCCCTCAGACAGAGACAAACACCGACAAGATCTCTGTCAAGCTTTCTTACAACTACAATACCCACCTGCAGAAGTAAAAAGACAGATTGATAGAGCCAGAAGAGTTCCCAGAAGTTACCTACTACAGGACAGGCCTAACAAAGAAAATAACAGAACGCCACTAGCGGTCACCTTCAGCCCCCAACTAAAACCCCTCCAACGCATTATTAAGGATCTACAACCTATCCTAAAGGATGACCCAACACTCTCACAAGTCTTGGGAGACAGGCCAGTCCTTGCCTACAGACAGCCCCCCAACCTGAAGCAAATACTCACCAACAACCACATACCACACAACAGAACCACTAACCCAGGAACTTTTCCTTGCAACAAAGCCCGTTGCCAATTGTGCCCACATATCTATTCAGGGGACACCATCACAGGGCCTAATAACATCAGCCACACTATCAGAGGCTCGTTCACCTGCACATCCACCAATGTGATATATGCCATCATGTGCCAGCAATGCCCCTCTGCCATGTACATTGGTCAAACTGGACAGTCTCTACGTAAAAGAATAAATGGACACAAATCAGATGTCAAGAATTATAACATTCATAAACCAGTCGGAGAACACTTCAATCTCTCTGGTCACGCAATCACAGACATGAAGGTCGCTATCTTAAAACAAAAAACTTCAAATCCAGACTCCAGCGAGAAACTGCTGAATTGGAATTCATTTGCAAATTGGATACTATTAATTTAGGCTTAAATAGAGACTGGGAGTGGCTAAGTCATTATGCAAGGTAGCCTGTTTCCCCTTGTTTCCTCTTGTTTTCTCCCCCCCCCCCCCGATGTTCTGGTTTAACTTGGATTTAAACTTGGAGAGTGGTCAGTTTAGATGAGTTATTACCAGCAGGAGAGTGAGTTTGTGTGTGTATGGGGGTGGGGGGGATGTGAGAAAACCTTGATCTATGCAGGAAATAGCCCGACTTGATTATGTAAAGAGTTGTCACTTTGGATGGGCTAGCACCAGCAGGAGAGTGAATTTGTGTGGGGGGGTGGAGGGTGAGAAAACCTGGATTTGTGCTGGAAATGGCCCACCTGTTGATCATTTTAGATAAGCTATTACCAGCAGGACAGTGGGGTGGGAGGAGGTATTGTTTCATATTCTCTGTGTGTATATAAAGTCTGCTGCAGTTTCCACGGTAAACATCTGATGAAGTGAGCTGTAGCTCACGAAAGCTCATGCTCAAATAAATTGGTTAGTCTCTAAGGTGCCACAAGTACTGCTTTTCTTCTTGTATATAGTTGTGACTCTCTGAGTACCTTTTCCAGGTCTGAAAAAGAGCTTTGCGTAAACCCCAAAGCTCGTCTCTCTCCCCAACAGAAGTTGGTCCAATAAAAGATATTACCTCCCTGACCTTGTCTCTCTCAAATCTTGGAAGAGGTGGGGTGGGAAGGTTTGGGAACTGCGGAAAGAGGGGAATATGGCTCTGTGCTGTGATTGGCAGGTGATACTGCAAACCACTGAAAGAGGGTGAGAGAAGGGACAGAAACGTTCCCTACCTGGGAGGTTGCTGAACATTTAAAGCATTGAAACAGACAATTTAAGGATGGGGGAGTATTTCTGGGGTCCCGCTCCCTCTTCCTACAAATAAATCACTGGTGGTGAAAACAGGTGTGGTGTTGGAAGCCCTGGAAATCTCAGCTTTGTAGGAAAGTCAGAGAGAGCGGGGATATTCAGCAGAAGAGATGCAAGGCATCTTCTTTTATTCCCCAAGGGAGGAAATTGCCAGCCACCTGTGTGTGCTGCTTCTCTGACTCCAGCCAGCCGCAGCTCAGCAACAGGGTGGCAGCGGAATGGAGCAGGAGAGGGCAGGCAGCTCCCAGGCTGTAAAACTCAGACCCAAGCCAGACGCCGTTCACACATCGCAGGCTGCATGCAGAAGGGACTACAGCACCTAAACCAAGACCTGACATTTGAACACTGGAAACCTGCCTTCTTTAAATCTACCCTTTGGATGAAAAATCCAATAGATGGAGCATCTCTAAGGTGCTTATTTATTTTTATTGCATTTTTTAAAAACAAGAAAGAAAGGGTTTTTTTTCTGAAACTTAACGGCAGGGGAGAAGGGGGGAAGGAGGGGATTTGGGAGCTGACCAGCCCAGGTTGAAAGGAGATTTGGAGCTGGCTAGCACAAGAGGGAGAAGAGGGATTTAGGTGCTCTCCAGGGAGATATTGCATCAAATTACTCCAGAAGAAGGTTTGAAATTGACCTGCCTAACAGGAGAGGAGATTTGCCATCAGCTAGTTCAGGACTTGTCTGAAAGCAGGGAGAGAGAGAAAGAAAGAACTCACTCAGGTTTGGGGAATGCAATAGGGGAAATGCCGAGCTCCAGGGTCTGGGGATGAAGAAATGGAGCAGCTCCAGCTCAGCTCGCTAGAGGGATTCATCTTAAACACACCTCTTTGAAGAAGAAGTTTGGTGGCTCCCCGGTTGTCTCCAGCGCCAGCAGCTCTCTTCCCCTGCTTGCCAGCCGGCCACCTCCTCCTGCATCCAGTTCTCCCAGCAATGGAGCCGGGTTGGGAGAGGAACAGCACTCCCTGCAGTGACCCTGGGGACGTCCTGACCCAGGCAGGGGATCTCAACTGGACTCTCTTCCACACCCGAGATGAGGAGCTAGCCCGGGCCGAGATCGGGGTGCTGGCCACCATCCTGGCAGTTGCCACCGTGGGCAACCTGGGGGTGCTGCTGGCCATGTACCGGCTGAGGAAGAAGATGAGCAGGATGCACCTCTTCATCCTGCACTTGGGACTGACCGACCTGGGGGTGGCGCTTTTCCAGGTGCTGCCCCAGATGATCTGGGAGGTGACCTACCGCTTCCTGGGGCCCGACCTGCTCTGCAGGGCCGTCAAGTACCTGCAGGTGCTGAGCATGTTCGCCTCCACCTACATGCTCATCATGATGACCCTGGACCGCTACATCGCCGTGTGCCATCCGCTGCGCACCCTGCAACAGCCAGGCAGGCAGGCCTACCTGATGATTGGGGCCACCTGGGTGCTCAGTGGCCTCCTCAGCCTGCCCCAGGTCTTCATCTTCTCATTGCGGGAGGTGCACCAGGGCTCCGGGGTGCTGGACTGCTGGGCTGACTTCAGGTACCCCTGGGGCGCCCGGGCCTACATCACCTGGACCACGCTGTGTGTCTTTGTCCTGCCCCTGGGCATCCTCACCGCCTGCTACGGCCTCATCTGCCACGAGATCTGCAAGAACCTCCGGGGCAAGATGCAGAGCGGGACAGAGACGGGAGCGGGGTGCCCCTGCGGCCAGGCCTCCCGGGTGAGCAGCATACGCACCATCTCCAGGGCCAAGATCCGCACGGTGAAGATGACCTTTGTCATCGTGCTGGCCTACATCGCCTGCTGGGCGCCCTTCTTCAGTGTGCAGATGTGGTCAGTGTGGGACGAGAACGCCCCCAATGACGGTGAGTGATGGGGGGGCAGGGGGAGAGACGGGGTGCAGAGCAGGGGAGCCTCACACAGTTTGCCAGCCACAGCCACCTCCAGGCCAGGGTGTGTAGATGGGCATCCAGGGCAGCCACTGGCTTCTAAAGAGTGACCCCTGCCCCCCCCCCCCCCACACACACAGACAGAAAGAACACACACATGCAGAATACAATATATACACCCTCAGAACACACCACAGGCACAGCACACACAGACTGCACACAAAAACAGAACACAGAGAATGCATATATACATTCAGAATACAATACACACACACTCACGCAGAACACACAAAGAATACGCACAGCACAAGAAACACTCACATACTCAATCCTCCAATATGCAAAAAAAATTGTTCACACACACCTGATAAACAGACAAAAAGATAATCACAAACCAAGAGAGAGATTATTGACACACACAAACACACAGAGTCACAAAGATATACTCACATATTCACTCACAAAGCTATATATACACACTCTCTTCCATACACAGACACATTCATTCAACAAAGATACAAACACATAGTCACAGCCACATAGACTGGACAGCACACTTCTTATACAAAATAAACCAGATGGGTGTCTCTCTCTCTCTCTCACACAGTAATTTATTACACTGATGCTTTAATAATCATCCATTTAGCTTAGAAGGAGCAGTGTGCAGGCGTGTGTTGTGTGTCTCTGAGCACACACAGACACCTGGAATAGTGCTTCTCAACCATTTTCAGTCTGTGACCCAAAAAGTGGCTGGGAAATTGTCCCACTCTTCACTGTGGTGCTGATTATTTCCCAGCTGATCAGAGACGCACTTCTAACAAACCATTCTTTGTAATCAATTAAAATGCCATTTTTTTATATCTTGTGGAGTTTAAAATGTTACCAATGTCCCATTGCAAAATGCATTTAACAGAATCCCAGTGCAAAGTGCTAACATGTTATCCCTGATGCAAAATCTGTTGGCAATACTTTGCATTCTCGGTTCTTGCTTCAGAGCTTTGCCACACTTAGGATCGACTAGTTCTTCAGACATAAGCCGGTTTTCTGTGTTGCTTCATCACAGTCATTGTAACGGGTGACATTTCACAATGATATATAGAGGCAAAAGACAGCAGCATTTTTAGGAGGAGATCGTCAGAAGCATGTATTTATTTAATGTAAAATAATAAAGATTCTGATCCGAGACTCTAGATACCCTAACATAATCAATCATACAACAAATACAATTAAATTAAGTCCAGGGAAAGCCAATGGGACTTGTGCTCCTAAATCCTCTAGGTGCTTTTGCAGATCTCCCCCTTACTGCCTCACACCTTAAACAGTATCTGGATATTCAGTAAGGGTGAAATGCAGACCCTGGGCAAAGGGCCAGCACAAAACTCATAACTTAACTCTAAAGGCTGAAGAGGGACTTAAGTAGTGTCTAAGCTGGCTTTCTGCACAGGGTGAATTTCACCCTTAAGGCATAGAGCCACAGCAGTCACAGTGTCTGAAATTCAGTTCCCATTGAGCAGTCCGTCCAAACTCCAGTCACCATCTGTATCTATTTAATGTTCAGAGAAATAGAATTAACAACTGCTTCACTGGAAGGAGTTCTCACCTACTCATACTGATTTAAGTCTTTAATTTCAGGTTTCAGAGCAGCAGCCGTGCTAGTCTGTATTCGCAAAAAGAAAAGGAGGACTTGTGGCACCTTAGAGACTAACCCATTTATTTGAGCATAAGCTTTCGTGTAGCTCACGAAAGCTTATGCTCAAATAAATGGGTTAGTCTCTAAGGTGCCACAAGTCCTCCTTTTCTTTTTTTCTTTAATTTCAGGCACTGGAGCAGGAGAAGACAGGAACTTGATTTGTAATCTTCCTACATGCCTAACAACAACATTGCCGTTCACAGGGTCCATGAGGATTTCAGCTTCTAAATGAAAGTCTTTACAACATTCAAATGAGATTATTTACATTGTTTTCTATTCTACCCTCTTCATCCCAAATTATGTTTTCTCATAGTTTGTCTTATCATTTGAATCAGATCCCTGTAGTGATAAATGAATCTTATTGAATGTATCAACACTCAGTCAGGTATGCTGGATTACACAACCACTCAGGGTCAGCAAACAGTGGATCAGATGCTGATCTTTCCTACAATGTCATAAATCCAGAATAACTCCACTGGAAGTTAACGGCATTATTTCAGATTTAGTCTGGTGTATCCGGAATTTATCCGGTCCAGTTTTTGCACTATGTTCCCTTCAAGAAATAAAACCATCCTGGGCCAGATTCTCATGTACGCCAAAGTCCCTTTACTCTGCTCTGGCAGGGGAGTAAAGATAATCCATGCCCACATTAAGGCTCCTAACACTGCTAGAGCAGTGTAAAAGGGACCTTAATGTAAATGAGTCAGATCCTTTGAGTTCAAGCTGCTGGTTTAAAACTTTTAATTAGAATAGCTCCTGTACATGGATATAGAAAAGCAGCTAATGGGTGACTTTAGATAAACCTAGGTGGAAAAGAAGTGGCTGGTGCTCAGCTCCTATCTCCTCCCAAAGCCTGTGGAAAAATCTTTGACTCAGGGCCCTTGAGCTGATAAAATATACCGGTGTCACAGCAGCTGATAAGTTGCACTTTAGTCAGTTTTCTCTGTACCGCAAGAGCCTTTCTGTGTATGCTGCAGCAAGCTCCCTCTATAAACTTGATCCAAAGCCCATTGAAGTCAGTGGGAGCTTTACTGCTCACTTCATGGGTCTTGGAAAGCTTTGGTCCTAGCAACATGGTCACTCCCCAGGCCTTGACAATAGCTGCTTGCACCATCAGTCTGGACAGAATAACACTGTTCCCACTGAGCTCCAGACACCCGTACACACGCTGGGTGGCACTTGACTCACTGAGTGGTCCATTGACTTCAACGGAACCCGTTTGAGGAGTGGAATATGTTTCATGCGTAAGGGTGCTGGAATCTGGCCCTGCATGTTATTTTCTTGTTAAACAAATAATGGAGAAGGCTTAGCATTTGCTCACCCGTCGGGTTTGTAGAGAAAAGTCTGCAGATCCAAATCACTGCTGTTATTAGAAATCCAGCCAAGGCCAGGAGTTCTGCTCCTTCAGCAGCATGCACAGACTCCTCAAAATGCAGTGCAAACATCTTGGCCTTGTGCAATCCCAAATGAGTGGAAAAGATGCACGTCAGGAGCTGCTCCATTGTTTCGACATGTAACAAGGCTAGGGGAGAGTGTGTCCGCTGTTTTCAGTGACCTCCATACTGGACAGCAGGATAAAGCGTCTCATCTATTTGCTGGGGCTGTGTAGCCCCAGCCGTTCTTTAACAGACAGCGTAGGGTGGCTTTCAGGCTTTTGTCGACACAGTTGCAGACTTTTGAAAAGGTGCCTTCTGATTGCTGAGATCAGATCACTTCCTCTGAAAGTGTGCGGTGAGGCTCCCGGGAGGTGTGTTTGCAGGTGTCTGTGATGACTGTTTAAATGTAGGAGGTCATAAGCCACTCTACGGTTACATAACACACACAATGGCTTTGGGAAATTGTTTCAGCCAGTAAATGGAAAGCCAGGCACCAGCTAGCCCTTATCATACATCCCGTCTCAATATTTACAGGCTCCTGTTGGTTCCACCCGCACATCTCTTCCCTCTTGTGGCATGGGAATGGAGCTTTCTTTGCACTCACTTGGGAACTCAAACAGGATGGACACGCCACACGCTGCCAGATCACACCCCACATGTAGGTTGACTTACAGCCTCAACCCGCAAAGGTGCAGGCTATCTCCACAGAGTCCTGGTTGGGGCACTGTAATGTGCATGGATATTGTTATTATTTGTTTGCCAGTGACACCTGCCCAGCTGAGCTTAGAGCCCCACTGTGCAGAGTGCTGCACAAACGCACTGTCCCTGCCCCCTAGAGCTGATTGTTTAAATAGATGAAACGGACAAAGAGGGGAAAGGACGTGATTTGCGCAACAGATCAGAAGCAGGAATAGAACCTACCTCACAGGCCAATGCCTTGTCCGCTGGACCATGCTGCCTCTTCGCCAGTGCACCGCTGGAGAATTCATAGATGTTTGTCCCATGTTCTTTGCAGAGTCCACCAACGTGGCATTCACCATCACCGTGCTGCTGGCCAGCCTCAGCAGCTGCTGCAACCCCTGGATTTACATGTTCTTCAGCGGGCACCTCCTGCACGACATGCTGTGGTACGTCTCCTGCTGCAGGAGCCTCCGGCCTGGCCTCAAGAGGCGAGTCTCCAACGGGAGCCTCTGCAGCAGGAAAACCACCATCCTGACTCAGAGCCACCGAACCGCCACCGCTGGGATCCGGCTGCAGCAGGGAACCTTGAAAGATTTCGGCCAGTCCTACGAGGACACGGTGACGGAGGCGGGTGTGCTCTAGAACCACCGCTTGCGCCAGCTGCCATTGTGGGATGCACGCCCCTGCTTGCATACTCCTCGCTGTTTGCCTGTCACTCCGAACTTGGAATGGATGTGGGACTAGAGAACATGCACGATGCCTCCTGGGGTGCGGGGGGGGGGGGGGGGGAAGGGAAAGTCTCTTTGCATCGGGCAGAATTTTATTCTGCTGGAACTTGTGCATTTAACCAGGCAAGCACCACGGTGTCCCTCTTGTCCTTATATGCTTTGCTACTGTGCAGAAGCAGCGTCTCTTTCACTCTCTTTCCCATGCACAAAGGAAATCAGGTTTGGTCCCCCTTCCACCTGCCCCTGAAACACCAGGAGAAGCGGTCTAGTGAAAAGATATGGTCAATGCGCCTCTTAAATAATAGGGCTTCCCCCTCCCCACCTTCAGGGCTGTCCTACCTAGAAGTGGATATAGTGGAAACAAGCATCACTGAAGCTTTTACTCAGTCCTCACAGACGCAAAGCTTCCACTGAAGTCTTGGATCTGATTCTCACACCGGTGTCTGGCAGGAGTCAGCCCACTGATGTTAATGGGCTTCCACCCGTGGACAGTGAGAGGCGAATCAGGCCTATAGACTACAACGGACGCTTTGTCTGAGTAAAGCAGGATTTGGTGCATTGCTATGAAGGGTCCCTTACACTGAGCTGTACAAACCAGCCCCCTGCCCTGAGGGCATGGCAGTCCAATGCTGGGGGGCCGCAGTTCACAGGGCCGGCTCTAGGTTTTTTGCCGCTCCAAGCTCAGGTGGGGCTGGGGCTCGCAGGCGGCGCTGGAAGTAGAGGGAATGATGTCACCTTCTCCCAGCGCCTGCAGGGGCTTTCCCCCCTCCCCTGCCCAGCCTCGCAGAGAAGCCCCAAGATAAGGGGTGGCACAAGGCGGCACAGCCCCGGCTCCCCGGCAGGACTCTCCCTCTCCTCCCCAGGTAGCAGCTGGGCCCTGGCAGCTCAGCATCCCGGGGCTGGGGCTTCCCCTTCCCACTGTGGCCGGGGGTGCTGCACCCTCGCCCCGTCTAAGTAGCGCAGCTCCAAGAGTGCAACTGCCCCCAAAAAAAAGGATGTCCGGAATGCTGCCCCTGGAAACATGCCACCCCGAGCACATCCTTGCTTTGCAGGTGCCTAGAGCCAGTCCTGGCAGTTCAGAGCCACATAGGTGGGCCCTTATGCCCGCTCAGATCTGATCACAGGATCAACTAAAGGCAAAGAGTCTATTCTTGTGCCATTCAATTCAATGGCCAGACTCCCCTTGGCTATAATAGGAGCAGGAGCAGGCTCTCAGGGCGAAGCCCTGCTGTCATTTACACCACTGTCAATCCAGAGTAACTCCCCGGGTGTCCATGGGATGGTTCCACGTTTCTTTTAAATAAGATGTCAATTGAAGTTCCTGTAAAGTGGCCGGCGCTATTAGCAAGAGGCAGCTCAGCTAAGCCTGCCTGAAAGTTCATTAAAAATAATTACACAGCCTATGGACATGGTTCGCCCGGAGAGAAGAAAATTCAGCTCCTCCAGGTCAAAATGTACCTTTTGCAGTGTGTTAGCGGCCCATTCTATTAATAGCTGTGAGTGACGCTGCCCCCTGCTGCAGTGCAGGTGTAAAGAGTTCCCTCTGCAGGCTAACTCCATTGAGGTCACTGGAGTTTTATTAATTACGGTCGCACCCAGGAACCCCAGCCTTGGAGCAGGACCCCTTTGTGCTAGGCGCTGTACAAACACAGAACAAGGAGACAGGCCCTGCCCCACAGCACTTACAATCTACTGCTGTAAAAAAACATTGTAAGCGAGCAGAGAGTCAGGCAAAGCGTTTAGGAGCCTGATTCACTGTTACTTTGCCCCTTGTGCAGCCATTTACACCCACATAAAGGGTGTGTAAAATGGTGCCAGATCAGAATGGTGGCATTTCACACTGACATTGCACTGGCATGAATGACAGCACAAGGGACGAGATAATAGAGAATCCGGCCTGTTGAGTTCTCTCCCTGCGTGTGCTCTTCTGGTGAGTTTGTTCTTTGTATGTAATTGATGGCTGCAGAGCTTTATTGCCTGGCGCCTAACTTTGCTGGAACCCCGGATGTCTGTGTCAGGGGTCTGCAATGCGCAGGGCTGTATGTGTGCCATCTACTGATGGGTTGTTTTAGGGCAGATCCCGTCGATAGCGCTCCTTGCTTTTCTTTTGTACCGCTCCACAAGCTTGAAGCAAATGGCAGTTTTGCTGTGGTCAAGTTGCTGATGCCCAGATCTTAGGTAATCTTCATTATCCTTATTAATTCTGTAGACCCGTTTCTCCTGGTCTTTAGCAACATTAGGCACCTTTCAGGCATGGTGTAGATAATACTTAGTCCTGTCTTGAGTGCAGGGGACTGGATTAGAAGACCTCTCGAGGTTATGATTCTATTATTCTATTTCTCAGACTCTCAAAAAACTCAACCCAACCCAACCAAACAAACCACCAACAATCCATCATGTCTTTTCCAAGAGGGGACAACTCAGAATGACAGGGTCATGAAAACAACGTTCTATTTCCTGTGAAGCAAGGTTACCTGATGCACGTGATGCCTGTATGTGGCCACAAGTTATTACATAGTCTCAGCTGGCCTGTGAAATTACCATCACTGGGTTTGCAGTGTTATTGTCGCCATATTGGTCCCAGGATATCAGAAACGGTGGATGGGGTAAAATCTTCTGTTGGTGAAAAAGACAAGCTGTCAAACTCCACAGAGCTCTTCTTTGGGATCCCTTGGTGGGAAAGCACTGGTCCTCCCTGCAGAAAGAAAGGGTTCCCTCTTTCCACCCTGCAAAGGTTAGATTTGTTTTGAGGTGCAGCTTCCCTTAGTGCTTAGAGTAAACCTGCCTTGTAGAGACCTTTGTCTGAGCTCAGTAGTTCACATGCTCATCCTGCTCCTTTGGTGGGTAACTTCCCAAAGGAACTTTGCTGCTGTAGGAAGCACCAGTCGTGGTTCCCTAGGTGGGCCTCTTTCCTCTGAGTCTGCATAAGCCCCAGCACCATCTGCCACAGAGGATGCTGTCCTGTTAGAGATGGAGACTTTCCTGTTCTGGGGTCCTGAACACTTGTGATCCTTAAAGGGCTAGGTGGATGAGTCCTGGCTAAAGTCCAACTAATCTAGACAGATCCGGCCTCCCTAAATGCATTGTGCCATTTCAGATGGATTCAGCATTCTTTTTTCTTGGCATCAGCTGTTGTGTGGTGGTGCTGTGTGCTATTAAACAGCTGCTGCATTTCATCTCAGAGGTGGCTGCATCCCAGTGGCCGATGAAGAGGAAACTGTATTATGCATAGGTTGTACATCAGTTAGTTAAGCTTGCAAAGGGCTTGAAATGGCCCATGCAAAGTTTGTGGAGTGCTCTGGGGTGCTACGGTGGGGACTTTCAAAAGGACAGAAGGACAGTTCAGTGGTTAACGTACTTGCCTAGGACTACCTGGGTTCTCTGCCACAGCCTTCCTGTGTGACCTTCGGCAAGTCATTCAGGATCAGACCCTCAAAAGGTACCTAGGCACTCAACTCCCATTGATTTCAATGAGAGTTAGAGCCTTAGCCTCTCTGTAAAAAAATAGGGGACAATAACACTTCCTACTGTACAGGGGCATTGTGAGGCTACATACATTAAAGACTGGGAAGCGTGCCAATAGTACTGGGAAGCCATATACGTACCCTAGATAGGTATCCCACACCCACAGAGTTAGGCACATCATTCTCTTAGGCTCTGTTGAAAACTCCAGCCTCCATATATACATCAGATTACATTACACTTCTGCGCTGACCTCTCCCTGAGTTGCCTTTACCTCAAATCACGACTCTCCCTTTTTGCCAGCTCTTCTAGAAAGAAAACCAACAAATCAATCTCTCTTTTTGACATCTACCCTTTTAATTCTGTAGCCCCATTTCTCCTTAGCCTTAACATCCTTTCCCACAGTCTAAAAACTGATCTGTCATGTCTTTTCCTACAGGGGACAACTCAGAACAACAAGATCATGAAGACAAAAAGACAAAAAAAAAAAATCTTTGAACTCACAAATTGATAAGTCTCAAAACCCTTCATTTAAAAAAAAATAAATCCCAAGTTTTACTCTGTTTGAAATGTATTGTCGCTGCTGGCAGTTCCTTTGCTCTGACTGCAACTGCTGCCAGCTGCAAGGATAGATAGTGCACATCCTTGTCGGAAATAGAACGCTACTTTATCGCAAAGAGACCCACGTCTTCAAAAGCTTTCGTTCTTTTGCTTTATTTCTTGCCAAATTCTGAGCAGCACAGAATAAAAAAGATGGCAACCTGCCACATTTTCAGCAGTTACTTGCTAATCAATAGGTTTTCCATGAGCATTTGGTATTTATTCCTTACGTGTTACTCAAGGCATCGGTGTTACACAGCAGACAAAGCTCTAGCCAGCTTACTATATGTGTGGCATTATTTAGTCCTCCACTCAGCAGAGCATTTAACTCCATCCACATTCACCAAAGCACATGTGTCTCTTCTGAAGTTAAGCGTGTGCTTAAGGGCTTTGCTAATAGGATGCTAGCACCTTCTTAAAGTTAAGGCTCTGCTTAACTGCTCTGCTGAATCAGGGTCTTCCTGCAGAGCATTACCCGGGGAAAAGCATGTTGCTCCTTCCGGGTAAATCTAGCCTCCCAGCCCTGGTGGACAGACTCAGGCTAGTGGGGCGCACGCGAGCACTCAGTGTAGAGCTGTGTAGAGACAGAGCTTGAAAGGTGTGGCTCATGCTTTTCTGGGTCTTTAATAAAAGTGTAAAAGAATTGGTAATGGTGTGTTTGCCATGATACTAAGAAGACTGAACATATCAGACCCAAAATCTTGTTTGAAATGGTTTAGTGCAGGGCAGTGACTGGATTATATCAATACTGCTGGGCCACCTAAATTAATACAAGGTCCTGCTTCAAACTACCAACCACCATCAGCTCAAGCCCTCACTCAGAATTTCAGAGATCACTAAATACCTCCCCTGGAAGCCTTTAACAGGCAATACATCCCCACTCAAAAGCACTGAGTCTGTGAATGAAACAAGGGAAACTTCACTG